AATTTTTTTGGCGCATAAGCTTTCGGGGCCTCCACCCCCTTTCTTCTGGCCTGTAGCCCACGAAAGCTTATGCTCTAATAAATTTGTTAGTCTCTAAGGTGCCACAAGTACTCCTGTTCTTCTTTTTGCCCATTAGGGTAGTATTTGATTGCCTAACAATTGGTAATATATTTATTCTCATGTTTGCAGAGGAGGACCTGAGGCCACACAATGCACAGTCAACCTGTGGAGCTTCTTGCCAGAGGATGTTGTAAAGGCCAAGACTATAACAGGGTTAGAAAAAGAACAAGATAAATTCATGGAGGATAGGTCCATCAATGGTTATTAGCCAAGACGGGCAGGGATGGTGTCCCTAGTCTCGTTTGCCAGAAGCTGGGAGTGGGTGGCAGGGGATGGATCACTTGGTGGTTGCCTGTTCTGTTCATTCCCTCTGGAATGAACTGTTGGAAGACAGGATACTGGGCTAGATGGACGTTTGGTCTGACCTAGTATAGTTGTTCTTATGCTTGTCTACACCGGGGTTCTTTTGTGGACTGTGTTTTTGCATGTATGCTTTTGTGGATTAATTTATCCAAAATAATTAAAGCCAGGTGGGTGGACACAATCTACTTCCTTCTGAATCAGTGCATCCACACAGTTGTGTTTTCTTTTCTTTTTTTTTAATTAAGAACTCTGCTAAAGCTCCTTTTCTTTGTTGCGGCATTGAAACTTCTCTTGGGAGTGATCCCTCCCAGCATTTGCTTTGCTATATGTTGTGTAGCCTGGCACTCCGGTGGCTGCTCTTCAGGCAGTACTGGACCAACATCTCTCTCCGGATCTCAAGGGAATCCATGCAGTGGCATAGCCAGATTCTGAGAGCAGGGGGAGCAAACATTAAAAAGGCGCCCCCCCCCTTGGCTCCTCCTCTGACCATGCCCCCTTGGCTCCTCCTACGGCCGCTCCGCACCCCCCCCCCGGCTGGCTCCTTCGGTTGTGCTGCGCCCACCCACCCCCCATGGCTCCTCCGGCTGCGCCGCCCCCCCATGGCTCCTCCGGCCGCGCTGTGGGCTGCCATGCTGTACCCCTCTTGCTCCTCCAGCCACGCCGCCCCCCCCATGGCTCCTCCGGCCGCGGTGTGGGCTGCCATGCTGTGCCCCCCCTCGTTCCTCCAGCCACGCCAGCCCCCCCCCCATGGCTCCTCCAGCTGTGCCGTGCCGCCCCCGCACCCCCGTCCCATGGCTCCTCCAGCCATGCCACCACCCCCATGGCTCCTCCGGCCGTGCCGGACCCCTCTTGCCTGCAGGAGCCCAGCGCCGGTGTAACAAGACACAAACAGCTCCTGCTCCCAATTCCCTACTTTGGGTGACTTTGGGTGTACTGAGCATGCTCACCCGAACTGAGCATGCCCAGTAACCTTCACTGTTGCCACTGCCCTCTCTCTGCTGGCCTGGCAGGCCAAGCTTCAGAGCAGAACGTGGGCCCCATCCCCTGGCGCCATGGTAACCCCTAACTAAGGCGCCGCTTTTGTAAAATGTGCTGAGGGGAAGCGGCTGCTTCCTCTGCACCCCCCTAGCTACGCTACTGAATCCGTGGGTCCATACGGATGCATGAGACATGGCTGCTTTAATGCTGAGAAGGGTACAAGAATCCAGGCATGTGCAATTGCAAACGGGTCGCTTCTAGCTGCGCAACAGTATTTAAACATGACCCCAGAGTAGTAGCAGGCACACAGAGAGACAAGTAGATCCAGGTGCGAAGCAATGTAGTGTGGGATAGCAGTGGGAGGACTGCCGGAGGCAGAAGTTATGCTGAAAGACAGATGCGTCCAGACACACTTTTTTCTGTAGTAGCTCATCCTGAAGTGAACTAACCCACTTTCAAAGTGGGTTATCCAGTTTACAACAAATGACCAGTTAGTTTGAAATAAGAATTGGTCGCAAGGCATTTTACTGAAAAAACACAAGTGAATGAAAACTCCTGTTTGCCCCAGAGTGGTAGACAAGACCTGAGTGCCTTGTCCAAAGTCACACAGGAAGTCTTTGCCAGAGCAGGGAATTGAACCCAGGTTGCCCAAATCTCAGGCTAGTGCCCTAATTACTAGACCATCCTTCCACTCATTCCTTAGTGTATGCTGCCTTACTAACTATGTAATTGTTATTTCACTTTATCCTCCTAAATGGGAAGTGCCATATGGGAGCATATCATTGTGAAAAAGAAGGGGGATTCAAGGCTAAGACCCACTTCCACCACGAAGCTACATTTAGGGAAACTGGTTTTGGTATTCATTTTGGGTTTACAGCAGTTGCAGATGGAGCCCCTTAAATTGGGAATATTGCCCTCTCGAGTTGGAGACTTCATAAGACTGCTGATCCATCTCGCAGGATATTCAGTCTCCAAGAATGGCCCAATGGATCTAGTTAATTATACTGTATTATAAAGAGAAGCAATTGTTTCCTGATCCCCTGCAGGCAGCGGGTTAACACCTTGATGTGTGGAATTTCATATCCCTTGTAATAATTGGCATCTAAGATGGTGTGAAAATTAATATTCTTATTCATATATATCTATTGCATACTACTAACCTATATCTTTAAGTAATATCCTGCAGCAGTGAGGCCCATAATTGCATAAAAAAGATACTAATTATTATGGGAATGCCTCTGTGAGTATTTTTTCTCTGGATTGTATTCATCATCCTGACTATGACCAGTAGAAATGACTCTACAGAAAGAGAGAGTGGTGCTGTAATTGTACCCAGCAGACACAGATTGACTTGTAAAAGGCCTCCCAAAAATGGCAAAAGCTCTGAGGAGGTATTTCCCCCTGTTTTATTTTTAGATAAGCATTAACAATCAGGGGCTGCATTTTTAAGAAAATCACTTTGATCTGTGCTCTCCCACTTTAAGTTGAGCAGGAGGCTGAATTATCTACACACATTTAACAAAGTCCCTGTTGAACTGAAAGGCAGCGAATGTGGACTGATACTGCCATGGTTCTGTTTGGCAAAAGTGAGCTTAAATAACATGAGAAGATAGATGCAATTTTACTCTCTTCCGTTTTAGGCCATGATTCTACAAAAGGCTATCGGGGTGCATAAGGGTCCACCCACTCAGATCCTTTTGCAGGTTCAGGGTTTTACAATGAATGTAGCTATTTTCATTACAAAAGAAATGACCTTGTGTATTCTTTTATC